ACACAGAACTTGCAACACTGTCATTCATTCATTACTTCATTCATTCAGCGGAGGCTCACTGAATATCTAGTGTGTATCAGACACTGTCTGTTTTCTTTCTTTCTTTCTTTTTGAGATGGAGTCTTGCTGTGTCGCCCAGGCTGTAGTGCAGTGGCACAATCTCAGCTCACTGCAACCTCCTCCTCCCAGGTTCAAGAGATTCTCCTGCCTCAGCCTCCCGATTAGCTGGGACTACAGGCACATGCCACCACGCCCAGTTAATTTTTGTATTTTTAGTAGAGACGGGGTTTCACCACTTTGGCCAGGATGGTCTCAATCTCTTGACCTTGTGATCCACCCACCTCAGCCTTCCAAAGTGCTGGGATTATGGGCGTGAGCCACCGCGCATGGCTGGCACTATCTGTTTTCTACAAACATCCCTGTCCTCCTGCAGCGTGACCTTTAGTGACACATCTGACATATGGAGCCTGCAAGTGGCATGTAACACACATGTACAAACAGTGGCTTCCACACAACTCACATGGAGTCTTATACACACCAGCGTTCCTAGCCTAGAGGCTCCAACACAACATGCAAAACACTTACCCTTACCATGTACTACACACATGCCCACACTCATCCACACACCCCACGTGCCTGTCCACAGAGCCCTGGGCACAACACATGCCCTGCTCTCCACAGATGTGGCTTCCTGCTGCTGAACCATGTGTAACCCAGTAACAGCTGAGATTTCATGCGTGCTTTCCGTGGTTTACATGCATGACTTTATTTGATCTTTATGGTAACTCTCCAAAATAGGCTTTCCATCTTCCCAGTGAGCAAACTGAGGCTCAGAGAAGTGAAATAATTTATTCAGAAACTCACGGGCTGACTGCAACCACTGCGAAGTATGGCACGCTCACACACTCACACGCACTCATAAACAAATCCTCTCACACCCACATGCACGATCATACACACATACACCAACACTTTTTTTTTTTTTTTTAAGACGGGGTTTTACCATGTTGGTCAGGCTGGTCTTGAACTCCTGACCTTGGGTGATCCTCCTGCCTTGGCCTCCAAAGTGCTTGGATTACAGGCGTGAGCCACCACGCCTGACCACTTTTTTTTTTTTTTTTGTTTTGAAACAGAGTCTTGCTGACCCAGGCTGGAGTGCAGTGGCACAATCTCAGCTCACTGCAATCTCTGCCTCCTGGTTCAAGTGATTCTCCTGCCTTAGCCTCTTTAGTAGATGAGATTACAGGTGCGCGCCACCATGCCCAGCTAGAGATGAGGTTTTACCATGTTGGCCAGGCATGTCTGTACTCCTGACCTCAAATTATCTGCCTGCCTCGGCCTCCCAAAGTGCTGGGATTACAGGTGTGAGCCACCTCACCCAGTCACATACACCAACACTTATGTCCATACACACACACACAGTCGTACATACATCAACACTCTCATGTCTACACACATGCATGCACATTCAAACACAATCTCACACCCTCACACACATGCACTCATTCTCACGGGCATGTGCACACTCATAGGCTTTCAGAAGACCAAGGCTCTCCTCCCATCCTCTTGGTCAAAGGCTTTAATTAACCCCAACACCTGTAATTAACCCTTCCTCTCTCCCTGCAGGAGAAGTGTCTGGACCCGCTTCCCAAAAGCAGGCACCAAGACGAGAGGCCAAGATGTTCACATCTGGCAGAAAGGACTCAGGTACCTGGGAAGCAGGTCCTGGGCATCGAAGGGAGGATGGGGTCAGAAAGGAAGAGGTAGGCAGAGGGAGTCTGGGGCCTCCCAGGAAATCAGACCTGCCACAGTTGCTCCTCCTGGACTGGTCAAATAGTGATTGGGCAACAGGCAGCCGTGGGTGGCTGGGCAGGCGGGCCAGAAACATTTCCCGTTTGTTTCCTTCACATCAGCCGCTTCCGTCAGGAAGGCAGATGAGCTCATGTCTGAGGAAACTTTGTGAAGAGGTCTTACAAAGGGGCAGGTGGTAGGCAGGTGTCCTCCAAATTGTCAAAACCTACCAACCAATCCTGCCGTGGCAGGGTTGGGGGCCAGGGGTGCTCTGCACAAAAGCCCCTTGCCCCGTCCCCCAAAACAAGCAGCGACCACCGTGATTCAAATCCTGCTTCTACTACCCGTGAGCTGTGCACCCTTTGGGCATGTTCTTTACACTCTTGGAGCCTCGGTTTCCTCTTCTGTAACTTGGGGATGACGACCCTTGCCTCCCAGATGAGAATTATTAATAAATAAGATACTGCATGTCTGATCCACTCCCAGAGGAAATGAACCTACTCTTAGATCACAGTAGGCTTAGAGGCTTCTGAACAGAGATACTCTTCTTGACCGTCAGCAGCTTGGTACACTCTTCAAGGGTTTTAGGAATGGGGGATCCAGGTCTATTTCCAGGCCACTCTCCCAGGCCTGCTGCTTAGGAGGTAACTGCTTATTGGACCCCCAATCCGTTTCAGCCCAGGCCTTCAGGCCAGCGTTGAGCTCAGTCGCGTTGAGCTCAGTCGCAGAGGTAAATGGCAGGATGGGCATGGCTCAGCGCAAAACCTTTCCAGGTCTGCTCCGAGGATACCAGGCTCAGAGATCCCCGAGGACTAACCCCTAGGGGCGCTGGCGCTTTGAGATGCTCAAACTCTGGAGGGCCTGCGGAAAGCCTGCGAGTCCAGAGGGCCCCAAGGTCCTCCCCCAAACCCCTCCGGACTTCCCCTCCCTCCCCTTCGGTGCCAGCCCGGCCCCTTTAAAGACATTCCTGAGGGCGTGGCCTCGGTGACGTCACGCGGGGCATGAATGAACTGGAGCCGGTTCTCACCCAACTTCCATTAAGGACTCGGGGCAGGAGGGGCAGAAGTTGCGCGCGGGCCGGCCGACGGGAGCGGACACCTAGGCCAGTGCCGGTGTGCGGGCGTGCGGGAGCTGGGCGCAGGGGATCTGACCAAGAGCGAGGAGCGCGGCATGGAGCTCCGGGCAGCCCGCGCCTGCTTCGCCCTGCTGTGGGGCTGCGCGCTGGCCGCGGTCGCGGCAGCGCAGGGCAAGGAAGGTGAGTGCGCGCGGCGGCTGGACCCCGGACCCCGGGGCCCGTGGGCCCTAGTGGCCCCCAGAGCCCAGCGCGCCTTAACGCACGCAACTTTGGAAACCGACCTGGTGCCGCCCAGTCCCGGCGCGCCGGAGTGCGAAGGGCGCACGGGCTGCGATCGAGGCGAGCCCTGGCCCCCACCCGGGGTCACAGGAGCTCTGGAGAATAAGGGGTTTCGGTTTGGACGCACGGGCCTCGGAGGCTGCGGAGAAGGGGACGCGGCGCAGGCCACGCGGTTGCAGCTCAGGCAGCGGCTTCAGCAACGCGTCCCGGCGGGGGGCGTGGGGAGTCCCATGGAGAAGGGAGTGTTTGGGCGGCTTTCCGCGGGCTCAGCTTCTTAGTGACCTGAATTCACTAACCTACTTGCCGGGGTTTTGCGGTGAAGGCATACTGTGAAGGCATACTGTGCAGGCCTCGCATTTTGGGGAGGGGGCTCCGGCGAGCGGGAGCCCCCTGGCGAAGCCCCAGTTCCCTGAGATTTTCTCCACTTCCCCCTTCACCTCAAGCCCCGAGAAAGAGCGTGGAGGGAGGTTCGGGCCAATCCCTGCCCACACACTCCTTTCTCTCTTTCCCAAGCCGCACTCCTGGGCTCCCGGGTCAGCTTAGGGGCCACGAGTGCGGACAGGAAGTCCCAAAGTCAAGCGTTCTGAGCAAGGGTGACTCAGAACGAGGAAATGCGGCAGGTGGGGGCGCGGCCTCCCAAGGTGTGGAGCTGTCAGCCCAGGGCCACCAGGGAGTCAGGGCACCCGGAGGTGGGGAACTGAATCACCCACCCCCGCCCCAGTGTTCCCGGAGCTGTGCTGAGTGTGGGGCCACAGACTGCCCACGGCGCGGCGGGTGTGTGGATGGGGGCGTTGACCCCCTGCTAGGGTCGCGGCGAGGATGGGGGCTCCTGCCCCTGGCCGAGGACCTTCCTGTCCACCCAGCCGAGGCCAGCTTCAGTTTCCAAGAGGGCAAGTTTTCCCCGCCTGCCTGGGCAGAGCGAGGTTTCCGCAGGCTCCACAAGGGGGAAGCCGGGAGGAAACCTTGCGCTGGTGAGAAGTTTCCTTTTTTTTTTTTTTTTTTTTTGAGCCGGAGTTTCGCTCTTGTGGCCCAGGCTGGAGTGCAATGGCGCGATCTTGGCTCACTGCAACCTCTGCCTCCTGGGCTCAAGCAATTCTCCTGTCTGAGCCTCCTGAGTAGCTGGGAGTACAGGCGCCCGCCACCACCACCGGCTAAGTTTTGTATTTTTTAGTAGAGACGGGGTTTCACCATGTTGGCCAGGCTGGTCCTGAACTTCTGACTTCAGGTGATCCACTGCCTTGGCCTCCCAAAGTGCCGGGATTACAGGCGTGAGCCACTGCGCCCGGCCTGTTTCCTTTTCTGCCTCCCAAACTGGGTTTGGAGGTTTTGTTGTTCTGTGTTGGGAGGAAAAGAGGCCCAATCTGGAGCCGTTGGGCAGTGGCAAGTTGAGGGTGGCATCCTGTCTCAGTCTCTGGAGCAACAGGGCCCAGGTCCCAACTGGGACCTCTGGTTGCAGGAGGCACGAATGGCAAGGATTTCTGCCACCACCAGTATCGCCCCACTAATGTTTGGTCCTCCCCCTTCCTGGGGGACTGTGGTTGGAGAGAAGGGGAGAGACAGCTGGAATCACTACAGGCCTTTCTCCTCGGCTGCCCATGGCGGGTGGGGATTAGGCGGGTGCTTTGCTGCTGCAGCCCCATGCTGGCCTGGAAGTCTGGAGCTGCCTTGTTCTTGTTCCTTTAGTCCACCTCTCCTCAGCCTGTTTGATTAAACCCCACCCACACGCCCCATGGGATACGGGTGGGGCGGGGGGCAAGCCTTGTGTATTGCACTGGGGTGGGGGGGACATTTTCACTTTGACTCTGAGTCCCCGTGAAAGACCCCCTAGAGAATTGTGCCTGGGTGGGGGTGGGCATGAGGGCCCAGCTGGAAGCTGCTGGTTTCAGTTCCTGGGAATCATGCTGGATGTGGTGTGTCTGCCTGGGGGTGGCTTAGGGGGCAGGTAGAAGGACACAGGTGCCTTTTCCACCTACCCCCAGGCTGCTTCGGGCTTCTTTCTTGCCCCCTTGCCCCTAGGCTGTACTTGGTTGCCCACTTGGCTCCTGTTATATCCTCAACAGCCACTGAATCTGCCCTCTGTTTTACAAATGGGGAAACTGAGGGAGGCCCAAGTGCTTACCAGCCAGGGCCCTCTGCACCGAGGACCAGCCCTGAGCATCCTGCTTCTCGGCTGCCAGAGCCAAGGGCCTTTGCGCTGTGGTTGGTGTCATGGTGGATTTTCCTGGGAAGCGGGAATAGCTGGGCAGGGGTCTGGGCAGGTGGCCGGGGGCGCTGAGCTGGGGTGCTGCTGATGGGAAGAGGGCTGGCGAGTGCCAGGAAGTTCTTGGTTTCTGGTTCTGCCAGGACCCAGTCTGCCCTCTGTCCCCTTCCCTTTTTCTTTCATGTTTTCCCCAGAGCCCCCAATTTCGCTGCTTCCTTTAGGGATTAGCTAGTCTTGGTTAAAGAGGAATGGGGGGAGCAGGGAGGGGACCACAGGGCAGTGGGTGGAAGAAGCTGTGGAGCAATGTGGCCCCGCAAAGATGGCACTTACAGTGGAACTTATGGTAAAGAAGGAGGTGTGTGTGGTGTGTGTGTGTGTGTGTGTGTGGTTTTTTTTTTCCCCCCCAGTAATGGGAAGGTAAGGGGATAGAGGGCTCATGGATAAGCTCTGCTTAGCCTAAGCCTCTCTAGGAAGCTGTCTGGGGCAGCTGAGGGGCTCCCAGGCTCCCACCCTTTCCAGGGAAGCAGGATCTGGAAGAACCTGGGGAAAGAGCCGCACCCGCGTCAGGGTGGAGGGACCCAGTGCTGGGCGCCTCCTGTTCCTGGTGGTTGGTTCGAGGGAATTTCCCTGGGAGGGGGCCGGCGTTGGAAACCCCTGTGGAGGGGGGGACTCCTTCCTGCGTGAGGGCTTCTTTTCTTCTTCGACTGAGCCCTGTGCTACTTCTAGAGGTGGGCCCAGGCTGGAAAGGGACGGCCTTTGTGCCAGGTTAACCCTTCGGAAGCCTGGGCACCGTGAGCCCCCTCCCCTGGGCACACACCTCAGCTTCTTGCCAGTGCGAGGTGGGGGCTGCAGGAGTATGACGAACCTTTGTCCTTCTACCCACCCAGCTGAAGTCAGGAGCTTCCAGATTCCTTCCTGTGTAGCTGGAACATTCCATTTGCTAGTGCAGTTAGTGAGTTTCCAAGCCCCAGTTCTGGGCATGTCTGAACAAATCCCTGCCCCTGCCCACCCTGTTGCCCCCAGCCACCCTCCCCTATCCCCACATCCTCTGCCAGGGGTTCTGTGCCACATCGGATTTCCTCTTGCCTCTCTGGGCTGCCGGAGCCTTCCTAGAGAGGTTTGGCTGAGATTGGTAGTGGGGGTGGCAGTGCCTCACACCCCAGCCTGGGTGCGTTCAGCCCAGGTAGGAGGGCCATGTCACTTCAGGAAGGGATTTCCAAGACCCCCTCAGAGCCCAGCTCCCATTTCCGCAAGCCAGGCCATCCCTGCTCCCAGCCTGCCTGGAGCTCTGTCCACCCTCTGAGTCTTTCTCCGGTCCTGGCCTTGAGGAATGGGGCTTCTGAGGCAGACCTCTCATGCTTCAGGGCCCAAAGGAAGCCCTGACTTGCTTTCTTTACCCCCACCTTAGGGCTTTCCCATCTGAATCCATCTTGCATAGATTCTATGCCTCAGTTTCTCCAATCTCCTTACCCTCCAGGGAGGGTAGTGCTTATTGGCAGCTACCTGGACTTTACTTGGAAATGGAGCAGGGGTAGTACCTAGGGTCTTAGGTTTTGGCTATGACCTCTGAGCCTGGCGGAGAACCTGGGGTGGATCAGTGTGAGATTCGCAGGGGTAGGACTAGGTGTAGGGAAGCCCCTGGGGGTGTGTCCCTCGCCAGGCTCCAGTCGCCTTTCTGGGAACAGCATGGTCCTCACACCTGGTCCCTCTGGGCCTAGAATGCCCCCTACATGGGCTTCCATCCCTGATCTCCCAGGAACCTCTGGGGCACCCCTGGCAGGGCAGTGGTCAGGATGTGAGGGGCAGGGGTGGTGGGAGTGACTTTCCCAGGGAGAGGACCTCGCCAGCTGTGTGTATCTTTGGGCCCCTCCTAGGGGTCCCATGGGTTCAAGGCTTTATCCCGCCTGCTCTGTGGCTTTTGTGGAGAGATCGGTTTCCAGATACCCGCTTCCCTCCTCCACCCTGGAGCTGTTCCCACCTGTTAACAGCACTCTCTTCTTGGAGTGCCACAAGATGCATGTGTACTGTAGGTGCGTGTGTGTGCTATATGGCCTGAGTGGGGCTGGCGTGTTTCCTGCTGGGGGGAATGTGGCAGAAGCAGACACCACTGTCCCCAAGGCCCACATGCATGGGAAGTGCTGCCGAAGGGCCTTGATCAAGGAAGCAGACGGGGCAGTGGTGTCACTTAACACTGCTCAGCCCAGCTCTCTGCCCAGCTGCTGTTCTCCTGCCAGGCTGAGCTCCCTGGCCTGCTCTGCCCAGCTGGGGACTAACGGAGGAGGGCAGCAGGCCGGAACCCTGGCTTGGGAGGCAGGAGGCCCAGACCCGACCCCAACTTGCTGTGTGGCTTCAGCTGGGTTCCAACCCGTTTCTGGACCTGTTTCCCCCATGAGTCGAGGGATGGTTTTCTTGGATATGGTGACCCTGCATGGTGGGGTCCCTCGCTTTTTCTCTCTCTGAGAGTTGGGGTTCTTGGAGGGATCCTCACCTTTCCTGCCATGGTCTGACTCCTGGAGACACCCCGAGGCTCATCCCCTGTCCCTGCTTTCTTTCAGTGGTACTGCTGGACTTTGCTGCAGCTGGGGGAGAGCTCGGCTGGCTCACACACCCTTATGGCAAAGGGGTACGTAAGCCTTTGGGTGGGGATGGGTGTGGGAATGGGGCTGCCGGTCCCCTGTAGAGATGGAGAAACTGAGGCCCAGGGAGTGTGGGGCCTGGCTTCAATCCAGCAGCTCAGCCAGGTCTCGGTCTCAGGGTCTGGCTTCTCACACCAGGCTCAGAGTCAGCCGGCCCAGGCCAGGGCTGGCTGGGGGTGGGAAGGTACCGGGGGTGGGGGTAAGCCTGAGAGGTGGGGGAACTGGGGAGACAGAGAAGGCCCTGGCGGAGTTGGGCTGTCCCTGTCCCAGAAGGGCTGACGGTCAGAGGGATCTCTGGCATCCCCCATCCACCTCTTGGGAGGGAAGGGGTTAAAGATGCCCCCTGTCTTGAGGTCTCAGCCCTGGAGGTGAGGGGTGAAGGAGAGACGGGGATCATGGAAACCTGATCAAGTTCCTTCCTGCCCGCCCCTTTCCCACCTCCAGCTGTTGCTTCCCCTTCCTGTGGGGGGCTGCATTTCTCTGCCTCATTCTCACCCAGGTCTTCCCCTCTATGCTGTCCTGATGTGACCAGGAGTGGGGGCAGGAGCTGTGTGTGTCTGCTGTGTGATCTTGGGGAAGATACTGTGGTTCTCTGGGCCTCAGTTTCCCTCTCTATACAATGGGCCCTTGCTGAGTTTGTCCTGGGCCCTAAGCTCAGAGAGGGGGCTGTCTCCCGGGGGCCATTCAGAATAGTTCCCACAGCTGGCCAGATCTGTGTGAGTTGGTTTCTTGTCCCTAGCTCTGGGCAGGCTTGGCTGGGGTGTAGTTCTGAGCAGATTTCTGGGACCCTAGAAGTCTAGCTGGGAGGGAACACAGGTCACCTAATACAACCCAGTCATTATGCTGAGTGGGAAACTGAGGCCCAAGGGCATGTAGAACCTTGGCCAGTGCCACACGGTGTAGCCCGGGCTTCTCTCCTCCCCTTTGCTTTCCATTCATTCTTTTGTTCATTCATTCAACAAACACTTTCCTGAGCACCTACTCTATCTCAGGCAGGCTCCAGGGACACAGAGGTGAATTAGATGCAGACCCCGGCCGAGGAGCCCCGAATCTAGTGTGGGAGCCCAGATGTAGGTGTCCCCACGTGCCATGCCAAGTGCACCTTGGTAAATGGCAAGGGATGCAGCGTGAGGGGAACATGGCAACTGTGGGAGCTGGGTGGTGGGGGGCACTTGGCCCAACTGTGGCCTAACCTGGGAATTCTTTCTGGAGAAGGCTGAGTTATGATCCAGAGAGGGAGGAACGTGTTGATCTGCTCCAAAGCCAAATTCTAAATGACAGAGGGGATCATCCATTGTTTTTGACTTAATGCTACTCCTTTGCTTGTCAACACACACGCATGTGTGGTGAGTAATACCCAGAGTAACAATAGTCATACTGGCTGCCTGTGTGCCTATTACCTTGTGCCCAGCACTGTGCTCGGCCAAGGTAGACATTCTGTCCTTTATCCTCACAGCAATTCTGTGAGGTAGGGGGTCTTGCCACCATTGTACAGATGAGGAAATTGCGGCTCAGAGAGCATAACCCACCTGAGGTCACGTGGAGCCCCAGACGCCACCCACAGGCTCATGGTCTAACAGAGAGATCTGGCATCCAGACGTGTGCCGGAAAGACCAGGGGCCAGATTCCGGCTCAGCCACTTATGGATTCACCCCCCACTCGCCCCAGGCCTCAGCTTCCTTCACTGTTGAACCAGGAAAGCACAAACCGGAAAGCATCTGCCTAGTGCCCCACTCTGCCACCTGGTCCTCAGTTTCCTCAGGCACCTGCCCACTAACCTGTCTTCCCCTGCAGTGGGACCTGATGCAGAACATCATGGATGACATGCCCATCTACATGTACTCTGTGTGCAACGTGATGTCTGGCGACCAGGACAACTGGCTCCGCACCAACTGGGTGTACCGGGGAGAGGCCGAGCGTATCTTCATCGAGCTCAAGTTTACCGTGCGCGACTGTAACAGCTTCCCCGGCGGTGCCAGCTCCTGCAAGGAGACTTTCAACCTCTACTATGCGGAGTCGGACCTGGACTACGGCACCAACTTCCAGAAGCGCCAGTTCACCAAGATTGACACCATTGCGCCAGATGAGATCACTGTCAGCAGCGACTTCGAGACTCGCCTCGTGAAGCTGAACGTGGAGGAGCGCTCCGTGGGGCCGCTCACCCGCAAGGGCTTCTACCTGGCCTTCCAGGATATTGGTGCCTGTGTGGCGCTGCTCTCCGTCCGTGTCTACTACAAGAAGTGCCCCGAGCTGCTGCAGGGCCTGGCCCGCTTCCCCGAGACCATCGCCGGCTCTGATGCACCCTCCCTGGCCACTGTGGCTGGCACCTGTGTGGACCATGCCGTGGTGCCACCAGGGGGTGAAGAGCCCCGTATGCACTGTGCAGTGGATGGCGAGTGGCTGGTGCCCATTGGGCAGTGCCTGTGCCAGGCAGGCTACGAGAAGGTGGAGGACGCCTGCCAGGGTGAGTGACGGTTCTGGGTGGCAGGGAAGGGGTTCTGGAGTGACACACTGCATTCCCATTCTGGTCTTTAGCTTTGGAATCATGGGATCTTGGTAAACTCATCCCCACTTTGATGACATGCATTAGTTCTGTTAGTGGAAATTATAGATCCTTCCCAGACATCAGTTTCCATCTTAGAGCTGGATTAACTCATTCATTAATAATGAATGAATTGTGGCTGGGCCCAGTGGCTCACGCCTGTAATCCCAGCACTTTGGGAGGCTGAGGCAGGTGGATCACTTGAGCCCAGGAGTTTGAGACCAGCCTGGGTAGCATAGTGAAGCCCTGTTCGGCGTGATGGCACGCACCTATAATCCCAGCTACCTGGGAGGCTGAGGCACGAGAATCGATTGCTTGAATCTGGGAGGCAGAAGTTGCAGTGAGCCAAGATCACACCACTGCACTCCAGCTTGGGTGACAGTGAGACTCTGTCTGGAAAAACAAAAAATGAATGAATGAATTGAGAAACAGTAGAGTGTGGAGGTTATGCCTGAGGACCCTAGAACGAGAATGCCTGGGTTCAAATCCCAGGTCTACATTTTTAGCTGCGTGGATTTAGGTCATTTCCTTGACCTCTGTACCTGAGTTTCCTCATTTATAAAATGGAGATGATTATAGCATCTATGTCATAGGGTGGCTGTGATCATCAAATGACTTAATAGTAAAGTGCTTAGGTCACTGCCTGCCACATAAGTACTTTTAACGGTGGCTGTTATTTTTTATTCATCCCGCAAATGTATACTGAGTGTCTCCTGTGCACAGGCACTGTGGTCTCATGGTAGGAGTACCAGGAACGAGTTCCATGTCTGTTATCAGCTCGCTGTGTGGCCTTAGGCAAGCTGCTTAACCTCTCTGGGCCGCAAACTCCTCTTCTGTACATGGAGGTGACTGAGTTGGACCTGGGGTACACATCCCCTGGCTGCATATCAGGATCACCAGGGGAGCTTTTGGGACATGCTTTTGTTGAGGGAGAGGCGGAGAGGGCCCAGGGTCTGCCTTTCTTGTCTGAATCTTCCCAGGACCCATAGATTTCCCATTAGGGTCTCTATTGATGACACACTGGGCCCAGAAAAGGGGCCAATTAAATCAGACTCTCCTTGGGGAATGAGGCTTGGGCATTAGTGAGCTTACATGGAGCAAGCTGTGGCTTGGTGTGCCCAGAGCCTGTGACAGCGGAAATCTCCACAGCAATGTGAATTTTCAATGGGTGACTTTTTCTGGAAATGGCCCTGGGGCAGGGCATTTGTGGAATGCAGGCGGACCTTTGGAGGGCTGGCTCATCCCCTCTCTCTGGCAGCTTCTTTGCTGAGATAAGCGGGGCATTAAGGAATTGGAGGTTTAGTCGCTGCATTGCACACACCTGCGGCGCGACCTTGGCTAAATCCCCCTCATCTCTGGCCTTGGGTTTCCTGTGAGTGAAATGAGAAAGTTCAATAACACCAGCAGACTTTCTGCTTGTTTTGTAGCCATGGATCCTGTAGCCCAGGAAGGGGGTTGAAGGGTGGGAGGACCCTGAAGCCCTTTCTGATGAGCCCCACTTGCCTCCGGAAGCAAGTCCTCAGAACCTTACTTAACTCGGTCTGTAAACCCCCGATGAGTTTTCTGTGAGCTTTTCTGGCCGTAAGCCTGTGGTGTAGGCTCTGCTCTGGCCCATCCCATCGCCCCTTGTCTTCCCGGCTCCCCTCTGCTGAGCGAGCCTCCCTTCCCCAGGCGGCCCCTGCTTTAGGTGACCTCGAATGCACACTCCCAGTTTTAGACAATGACTGTGGGGTTGGGGGGGGCCTGGACAAGGCAGCCCAGTGGGGCGAGCAGGCTCCTCCCACATGACATCCTCGCACAAGAATGCGGGGGTGGGGGCGAGGGGCAGCTGAAAACTTTCCACAGGCTGGTGATGCAGGCCCCGCAGAGATAAGTGGACGGTTGGGGTGGGGGTGTCTCTCCAGGAAGTGGGGCAGCCTTCCCTCCTCTAGAGGTGGGGGGTCAGGGTTCTGGCAGACTTTGTTTGTAGAGAGCCAAGCAGCCTCCTGCTGGGAAGATCAGCCCAGCAGGAGGATGAGTTTCCAGAAGCGAAATATCCGACTTAGCTGGTGGGACACTGTCAACTGCTAGTCACCTACCACCGGGATCCTCCCACCAAAATTCCTGTCAGTGTGGCCGGGTGCTGGTACGGGAGATGCCAGGAGCTCCTGGCTGGCTCTGCTTTATGCTTCTAGACTTTTCTCAGCAGCCCCTGGTCATGCTGCTGTGGGAGGTGATGACAGTCGCTACCGTAGACAGGTGCTGTCTGAGGGGCAGGCGCTGAGCCAAGCAAGCGCTTTATCAGACATGCCAGTGGAATCCACACCACCTTTCTGTGTGGCAGGGATTGAAATCAATCCCATTTGACAGACTAGGAAACTGAGGTTCAGAGAAGTAAAGAGGCTTGCCTGGAGTCACACAGTGGATGTGGCTGAGTCAGGATCTGAATCCAGGCGGTGCAGCGGGCGCCCAGGCTGCAGGATGGGTTAGGAAATGGGGCGGGAAGTGACCAGTTCCTTTGGAATCCCTGACTCAGCTCCTGGACCTGGAGCAGGTTCTCTGGCCAAACCTGGGGATGGCAGGGTCTGTTGCAGGGGCTCGAGGGCTCTGTCGGAGGCAGGGGTGCTGGAGAGGGCACTGCTGGGCACATTGCAGGAGAACCAGAGGGAGGCACAGGGTCTGCCCTCCCTGCTGGACCCTCCAGGCCTGGAGACCCAGATTCTTTCACTGGGGCTCCTGCTGGTGACAAACCAGACCGAGAGAGTGGCAGGGCACCCTGAGGTTACCTGGCACCCTGTCTAGGTTATTCCGTTTGTCTGTTTCTCCTCAGGGTTCTTTCCTCAGGAAGCCTGGAGCTCAGGAAAGAGTTAAGTGGGCAGAGGAAGGGAGGCACCTCCCAGGTGCTGTGTGCGGCAGGTGGGCATGCTGCCCGGAGCGCTCCCGTGAGCTATGTGAGGAATGAGCCAGCTTCGCTCCATTCCCCAGCCCCGCCCTGCCCGCGGGGACAGCGGAGTCACTCGGGCTGACCGGGCTGACCGCTGTCCCCGGGGGCTGCTTTGTCTCCCTGTCTCCGCTTCCTGTGCTGGCTTTAGCAGCTGAGCTGGCGGGGCCCCTGCTGGCGCCTCAGCCCTGGGGACCACTGGCCAGGTGAGCAGGTGGCCAGCGGCCTTGGCCAGAAGCTCAGCTGAACAGCTGGAAGGCCAGAGCTAGGTTGTGGGGGGTTGGCGATTCCCTCCTGAGAGGATCTTGCTCCCTCGAGGGGCCTAGCCCCTAGGGGATGTCCCCTCCCTACTGTAGTTTTACAATCCGCCAGTTCCTAGGGACACCCCATTCCAGGCACCACGCTAGACATCTCATAAGCAGGGCTTCCTTCTGCCTTCACAAACAACCCAGAGAGGATGAGGACTTGATCCCCATTTTACAGATGAGGAAACTGAGGCCCGGAGAGGATGCAGTGACCAGTGACCAAAAGAACTGGGGCCTGGCACAGGAGGGCAGTTGCCCCTACTGTGTGTCCTTCCACCCACGGGTTGTATGACCTTAGCAAGTCCCCTCTGGGTCCCACCCCCATCTGTAAAATGAATGGGTTGGGCATGTGACACTGAAGGACCTGCCAACCTGGTGATCAGAGCTTCCCATTGGGGCTCAGTCTGAACACTGGGCAAGCTGTTGACCATGTGACTCAAGTGTGGCGAGGAGGGGTCCCACTGCTTGCAGTCCAAGTGGCCTAAGGTCCATAGCTGACAGGGAGGAGTCCCTGGCCAGGGTATGGCTCTGGTTAAGGTGGTCTTTTCTTTATTGAGATGGAGTCCACTCTGTCACCCAGCCTGGAGTGCAGTGGTGCAATCTCGGCTCACTGCAACCTCTGCCTCCTGGGTTCAAGCGATTCTCCTGCCTCAGTCTCCCGAAATAGCTGGGATTACAGGCATGGGCCACCACACGTGGCTAATTTTTTGTAGAGACTGGGTTTCGCCATGTTAGCTAGGATGGTCTTGATCTCCTGACCTTGTCGGCCTCCCAAAATGCTGGGATTACAGGCGTGAGCCACCGTGCCCGGCAAGGTGGTCTTTAGATAGGGTGGTCTTGGGCCATGGCAGGGACTGCTGGCAGGATGCCTGTTTTGTCAGGTCACGGTTATTCCCCCCATCCCGTGGGGGACTCCGGGAGCTGTCGGCTGTGGCTCTGAGGCTTGTCCCCTCCCTGGGAAGTCCCACTGGGCCTTATTTCTGTGATGTTTCTTCTGGCATGCAGGGGGGGACCAGTCGGCAGCACCGCCCCAGCACCCCTCCCCGCCCCCATGGTGGCTCTCACCTCTCTGCCCTGCCTATCCCACCCTCAGCTCAGACTGGGGGCAAAGCTAGGCACTGGCAGCTCCACTGGGCGGGCACCGGCCTTCCCTCCCTCCCTCCCCTCTCTAGGTAAGTGGGTCCCCAGAACGGAAGGAAGGAGTCGAGGGAAAGCAAACAGAAGATGAAAGGCTGGTGGCAGGCCAGGAGCAGGAGGCGGGGGCCGGGGTGGGGAGTGGCGCTTATCGATGGTGGAGGAATGTGCCCGCAGATAGCTCCCTAGGGTATGTGTGAAAAGGACAGGGTGCTGGCAGCCGTCAGGCCCTGCGGATGGACCCTCTTCTGCAGGGACGACAGGGCCTGCTGGGAGCAAGAAGCCACTAGGGCTCCAGGTTATCAGCTTCCCTCATTTGCTGGGTCGGTAACCCATAGGTTGCCATTCGCTGCCTGTCAGGGCCCAGAGACAAAGTCCAGGCTCCTCATCCTTGAGCCAGGGTGGTGCCTGCGGTCGCCTGGCTTGGGTGGTGACTGGACCTAGGTGAATTGCCACCATGACTTCTTGACCTCACAGCCTTGCCACTGTCAGCCTGGGAGGTGGCTGAGCCTTGGGAGGAGGGGCTCCATTGGGGGCTGGACTTGCGTCACGATAAGGGCGTCTGTCCCTGAGTCACCTCTTGCTGCCACCTGAGGGGCGGGCATCAGGAACTGGAAAAACCAGGGTATGGCCCGAGGTGCAGCCACTGTGCCCCAGTTCCTGCTCGGAGTGGCCCGGGCCTGCCACGCAACTGGGGCCAGAACAGCTCTCCACAGGTGTGCCACAGTGTGCCAAAGCTAGGCTCTTGTGCAAGGAAGGTAAGCATCCTGGTGGACCACCTCCACAGCGTCTCTCTGGGCGCTGAAACTCTCCTCACTGCTTTGGCCCTGGAGTGCATATTTCACGTGCCCATGGTAGGTTTTGCCACTCGTTCTCTCTCCCACTGACTCTTCTATCCACCTGTCCACCCATCCACCCACCCATTCATCCATCCATCCATCCACCCCTCCACCCATCCATCCATCCATACATACATACATCCATTCATCCACCCATCTACCCACCAGCCCACCCATCCACTTCTTCATTCATCTGTCCATCCTCCCCCAACCCCCATCCATCCATCCACCATTCACCATCCATCCATTCATCCAACCATCCACTTGTTTATTCATCTGTCCATCCTCCTCACCCATCCATCCACCCACCCATCCATCCATCCAACCATCCATCCACTTACCTACCCACCAACCCATCCATCCACTTGTGCATTCATCTGTCCATCCATCCACCCACCCACCCACCCACCCACCAACCCACCAACCCACCCATCTACCCATCCATTTATCCATCTGTCCATCCATTCAGCAAACATTAACTGAGCACCTACTTCATGCAAGCCCCTGTGCTGGGCCATGGGACACAGATAAATTGGTCTCCATTCCTGCTCCTCAGGAGCTGCCAGTCTCACAGAGGCTCCTGATACATGCAGAAATAATTTCAAATGGAGCATGAAAGCCAAGCTGTGAATTCCCCTGGAGCTGAAACGGTGTTTATCTGTCTCACCATCGTATCCTAGCACCCAGCATCGTGCCAGACATCTACGAAGTGCCCATTTCTATTTGGTAAACATAAGATCAGTAGATGCCCTAATGGGGCCCAGGGGTCCAGGAATTGGGCAGTCTTGGAGGGCTGCGTAGAGGAACTTAAGCTGGGTATTAAAGGATGCATAGGAGTTTGCTGGTTGCCTAAGAAACGGTGGGTATTTGGTGTATGTAGGTGTGTTTGAGTACGTGTGACCCCTGTCCCCACTTCCCGCCCAGAATGCCAGGAAATCCGACTAGATAAAGTCAGGAAGAACACGGGGGCTTGCTGGTGTCCTACTCTTGAACTCTGGGACCCCTGAGCACTTGGAAACTCTGGGGGGCCCTGGGGACAGCCCCTGGTAGCTCTGTGGTTGGAGGAGGGGAAACACAGCTCGTCAGGCAGGCACATGCCCTGTTGACGCTGCCTCTCCACTGTATTATCTGGCACATCCGCAGCGGAAATCTCTCCAAATTCCCTCTTTCCTGGCGGCAGCAGGCAGGCCACCCCCGGGCGCTGGGGCCGAAGAGCCCATCTCTTCCCCCACTTCCTCCTCTTGGCATAGGAGCAGCCGCATGGTGGGGAATCGGGGCATTGTGAGGGTTTTCGGGTGGCTAAAGCCTTCAGTGGGTCTGAGCCCGAGCTGTGGGGGTTTGTGGCCCCTGCCCGGCCTGGGAGCCTGGCTGGGAATGCCCCCCGAGCTTCCCAGGTCTGCTGGCCCTGGACCACCTGGAGCCAGCACTTAGCCAGGGCGAAGTCTCCTCGGCAGACAAGTCAGGGCTTTTGGGGAAGTTGAAACCCCAGGATAGACATGGCCCAGCTTTCTGGAGTCTCAGTTTTACTTAAAGATTTGGCGGAGGAGAGGGCTATTTTTGTATCATGTAGCTATGTTATGGGGAGGGGGGCAGTATACTCACGGGTTTCCAAATACGATAGGAGACTGGAAAGACATTTGGGGCTTGAAGGAGACCGCTTTAGCCACCCCAACCAACCCTCCTGGCTGGAGTCTACACTCTTCTGCTCATAGACACAAAAGTGCCCAGTTTGAGATCTGTGGTGGGGATGCCCTCCCCCTCCCTCCACAGCGCAGAGACCCCCGGCTGTTCAGAGACCCCCGGCTGTTCTGAAATTAGGCGGGAGTTTCTGGCTTTTGAAGTGAATGTCTCCTCTCTCTTCAGGCTTGTTTCAGAATGTTGGTTTCTCTTTGCTCTAAATCGAAGGGTTCCTAAGAACAGAAGTGGGAAAGGAGGCCAAGCATGGCGGCTCACACCTGTAACCCCAGCATTGTGGGAAGTCCAGGTGGGAGGATCATTTGAGGCCAGGAGGTCAAGGGACCAGCCTGGGCAACAAAGCAAGATCCTGTCTCTAAAAAATAAAATAGGCCAGACAAGGTGGCTCACGCTTTTAATCCCAGCACTTTGGGAGGCCAAGGCGGGAGGATCACTCGAGGTCAGTATTTCAAGACCAGCCTGGCCAACATGGTGAAACTCCATCTCTACTAAAAATACAAAAGTTAGCCAGGCCTGGTGGTGGGTGCCTGTAGTCCCAGCTACTCAGGAAACTGAGGGAGGAGAATTGCTTGAACCTGGGAGGCAGAGGTTGCAGTGAGCTGAGATCCTGCCACTGCACTCCAGCCTGGGCAACAACAGAGCAGGACTCCATTTCAAAAACATAATAATAAAAAAATAAAGAATAAAATAAAATAAAAAGAAGTGGGAGAGGAGAGAGGTGGAAGGTCAGGCGTCCTAAGTGTGAGTTTTGGTTTCCTGTCTTGGGAGCTTGGTGACCTTGTGCAGGCTCTTTTTTGCCTCTCCTTACCTCCAAAATGGAACGAGCGCCAGTAGTGCCTGTGTATAGCAGGTCTATTGTGAGGACTGAATGCTTGTAAGGCGCTTAGCCCGAGCCCTGCGCACAGTAGGTACTTACCGGCGGTTGCTGTCACTGGGACTCCAGGCTCCATGCAGAGCAGGAGTCGGGTCCTGGGCCTCCTGTGTCCTGCTGCACGGCCCAGGACAAGCCCCCTTCCCTGCGCTGGGTGCCTGAGTTCTCACAGGACCAATGCTGAGGGTCTGCTAACGCAGGATGAGCCAAGTGGCTGAGGGAGGCTGTTTGTGTGGTCCCTGGGCCGGGTGGGGAGGGGACAGGGATGCATCCTGGCTCTGGGAGCAGAGTCACTATCTGGCACCTGACAGAGCTGGGAGTCCTTTGAGTCCTGTTCCTCCGACTCCTGGTCCCTCTCTCCACCTCTGCTCACACAGGGGACTGGACAAAGAGACTCTGCTCCAGATTCTGTACCTGAGGGTTAGCAGGCCTGGCTGGGCCATGGCAATTGAAATTGGCTTCCCTGGAGGGGGTGGTCCTTAGGCCATTGGGGGCCAGGCTGTCCCCAGGGTCTAGGACAAAAGTGGCCTCTAGGCCCAGATTTTTCCTGACGGCAGGGATCTGACCTCCCTACATCAGACCTCCAGTGGCTTTCCATTGCCTCCGGGATAAAGTCCCAGCTTCTTGGCCTGGCATTCAACTGGCCTTTCTCAACTGCTTTATTGCTTGCTGTTCCCCACATTTGTGCCCACAAACCCACTTATACCTTCCTTATTAGTCATGCTCATTCTCACTCCTAACTCTCTCTCCCAATATCTATGGCTCCTCTGCTGAACTCCTATGCAGCCTCTAAACCCCAGCCAAAATGTCCCCTGTATGACTTCTCAGACTCCTGGCCAAGGTTGTTTCCCCTTCTCCACCCACTTATCTCTTAGCTTGTTTCCTCCGTCTGTCTTGCAGACCTTGTCAGGTGCTTCTGCTCTCTGAGATCAGGGCTTTGTTTTCATTTTGGTGCATACCCAGCACTGGGCCAGGCACAGGCAGGGGATTAGTGTGTGTGTGGTGAACATGGTGCTGAGGGTGGAGGTGACTTAGGACCCTCTCCTTAGAACAACCTGAAGGATTACAGTTGCAGGGTTGCAGAGGGAGCTCCGTAGGGTGACCTCCACCCACCCTGGCCACTTCAGCAGCTGCCCAAGCCCTGGCCAGCCCGGCACTGGGAACCCTGTGTCTGGGCAGCTTCCTGCCGGTAGGGCCAGGAAGGGGCTTAGGGCAGGAGCAGGATGAAACAGGATAGGGAGGTGGGAGGAAGAAGCCCCCGGAGTCAGGTGCCTGAGCCCCCAGCCTGCTGGGCCAGGGCAGGACCGGCCACTGGGGGAGGAAGAGCCACTTCCTGGCTGCCCTTGTGACTGGCGGATATGACTCGGCCCTGGAAGCAGAGCCAGAGAAAATGCCGGGGGGCTTGGCCTTTCCTGCTTCCTGGTCAGCCCTGCATGGACAGGCGGGCAGGTCCTGGGGCAAACGGAACACCTGCAGGGATGGCAACCTGAACTGATGAGGCTGGCTGGTGAGTCAGAGTGGTGGTGATAGTCAGTCAACAAACACACATGGTCTAGAAGAGGCAGTCATTGTCCTGGGCAGCTCGCAGCTACCCAGGTGGGGACCTGACAGGCTGGTCTGTGCGGATGAAAGGGGATGAGGCTGGTGGGCGGCGTGCTTGGTCAAGTGCTAAGCTAGTCTATGATGGGATTCTTGGGAAACTGAAAGGCGAGGTGTGGCCTTGAATGCCGGGCTCAGGGGCATGGTGCTTCTTGCAGGAGCTAGTGGGGAGTGAAGCAAAGGTTTGCAGCGTGTGTGTGAGGCACTGCCTGGTACATGCTCAGCTCTGGCCATGCACTTTTCCATCACAAGACATTTTGCCGACAAGAAAACAGGTCCATAAAGATTTACTGACCTGCCTTGGGGGGGGGTCCCCAGCGAGGGAATGAGACAGTCATGTGGGGCGGGAGCAGATTGAACTGACGTCCTTGTGCCCTGTCTGTCCTGTGCCAACCAGCCTGCTCTCCTGGATTCTTTAAGTTTGAGGCATCTGAGAGCCCCTGCTTGGAGTGCCCTGAGCACACGCTGCCATCCCCCGAGGGTGCCGCCTCCTGCGAGTGTGAGGAAGGCTTCTTCCGGGCACCGCAGGACCCAGTGTCGATGCCCTGCACACGTGAGTCTCCTTGGGTCAGGGTGGCGTGACCGAGGGTGACTTCGCCTGGGTCCAGCAGAGCACTGACTCCTCCTGTCTGCAGGCCCCCCCTCCGCCCCACACTACCTCACTGCCGTGGGCATGGGTGCCAAGGTGGAGCTGCGCTGGACGCCCCCACAGGACAGCGGGGGCCGCGAGGACATCGTCTACAGCGTCACCTGCGAACAGTGCTGGCCCGAGTCCGGGGAGTGCGGGCCGTGTGAGGCCACCGTGCGCTACTCGGAACCTCCGCACGGGCTGACCCGAACCAGTGTGACAGTCAGCGACCTGGAGCCCCACATGAACTACACCTTCACCGTGGAGGCCCGCAACGGCGTCTCGAGCCTGGTGACCAGCCGCAGCTTCCGCACTGCCAGCGTCAGCATCAACCAGACAGGTGAGGCGCAGGTGGACGGCTGTGCCCTAGGGGGCCTGCCCAGGTGGGGCTTAAGGAGGACGGCCACCTGAGGCTCGGGTGTGTTTAGAGAGAAGCAGCAGGGCAAGTGGTTAAAGGCTCAGTCTCTACAGCAAGCTGGTCCAACCCATAGGCCACATGTGGCCCCGGCCGGCTTTGAATGTGGCCCAACACAATTCATAAACTTTCTTAAAACATTATGAGATTATTTTTGCAATTTTTTTAAAGCTCATCACCTGTCGTTAGTGTTGGTGTATTTTATGTGTGGCCCAAGACAGTTCTTCCAGTATGGCCCACAGAAGCTGAAAGACTGGACATCAGCTCTGTGACTGTGGGCAGGGTAACCTCTCTGGGTCTCAGTGTTCTCACCTGTAAAGTGGGTTAATAACTGAGAATTGAGGCTTGAGGCTGGGTGCAGCGGCTCACGCCTGTAATCTCAGCACTTTGGGAGGTCATGGTGGGCAGATAACCTGAGATCAGGAAACCCCGTCTCTACTAAAAATACAAAAAATAGCCGAGTGTGGTGGCGTGCACCTGTAATCCCAGCTACTCAGGAGACTGAGGCAGGAGAATTGCTTGAACCCAGGAGGTGGAAATTGCAGCGAGCTGAGATTGTGCCACTGCACTCCAGCCTGGGCGACAGAGTGAGACACCATCTCAAAAACTAAGAATATTAGTAATGAGGATTTTAAAGTATTATATTTAAGGCTCTTAGAATAGTGCCTGGTCAACAGAGAGGATTGAGCAAAAGTTCTTCTTCTCTTTCTTTTTTTTATTATTTATTCACTTACAAATATGGAGTATCTCTGATGAGCCAGCTCTTGTGGTGGGGCCAGGGGAGGGGCCTGGGGCTCTGGCCCTGTGCTCTGCAGCTGGAAGTTTAAGATCCTAGACTGGGATCTAAAGAGGCTGAGGCAGGAGGATGCTGGAGCTCAGGCGTTCGAGACCAGTGTGGGCAAAGTTTTGTAGAGACCCCACCTCTACAAAAAATATAAAAATTAGCCAGGTACAGTAGCACAAGTCTGTAGTTCCAGCTATTCAGGAAGCTGGAGCAGGAGGATCGCTTAGCACAGGGGTTCCAAGCTTCAGTGAGCTGAGATCATGCCACTGCTTTCCAGCCTGGGTGATGGGGAGATCCTGTCTCAAAAACATAAAATAAAAGAACCTGGGCTGTGGGGGATCTGGCTCCAGGTCCGCTTGTCCCCTCAACCCCTGCCTGTGAGCAGGCAGCTTCTCACACCCTTCCCCCACCGCCTGTCCTGCCCAGAACCCCCCAAGGTGAGGTTGGAGGGCCGCAGCACCACCTCACTGAGCGTCTCCTGGAGCATTCCCCCGCCACAGCAGAGCCGCGTGTGGAAATACGAGGTCACCTACCGCAAGAAGGTAACTCCCAGAGGGTCAGGGCTGGCTCCAGCTGGGCCGAGAGCAGGGGACAGGCTAGTCACATGGGTGCTCACCAGACCACCCAGCCATCTGAAGAAGTACCCTTCTGCAGATGGGGAAACTGAGGCCTGGGGTCTGCCAGGGAGTTACATTTCCCAAGGCAGCACAGCAGGGATTTGTAGGAGAGAAGACGTGGTGTCCTTGGAAGAGGCAGTCAGGGTGGGGACAGGGACAGAGTCTTTGGGACCCCACACACCTAGGCTTGAGTCCTGGGTTCTGACCTTGAGTGAGTGACTTCATTTCTGAGCCTCAGTTTCCTCCTCTGTAAGAAGAGCCTCAAGGCTGCTGACAAGGCAAGCCATCTTGCTAGCTGGGGGTGGTCTCCAGCGGGCTGAGCCGAGGCCCTGCCCTCACGGCCTGCTCCTCTGCCTGCCACCCGCCCCCAGGGAGACTCCAACAGCTACAACGTGCGCCGCACAGAGGGCTTCTCCGTGACCTTGGACGACCTGGCTCCGGACACCACCTACCTGGTCCAGGTGCAGGCACTGACACAGGAGGGCCAGGGGGCCGGCAGCAAGGTGCACGAATTCCAGACACTGTGTGAGTCGGGGGGCCCTGGGCAGGGGCCAGGCCAGGGCGCAGAACCAAGCAGTAGAGACATCTTGGGAGAAGGAAGTGAATCAAAGAAGTTAGAAATGAGCCGGGTGCTGTGGCTTACGCCTGTAATCCCAGCACTTTGGGAGGCCAAGGCAGTGGGTGGATCATGAGGTCAGGAGTTTGAGACCAGCCTGACCAACATGGTGAAACCCTGTCTTTACTAAAAATACAAAAATTAGCTGGGCATGGTGGCAGGCGCCTGTAATCCCAGCTATTCAGGAGGCGGAGGCAGGAGAAACACTTGAATCTGGGAGGCGGAGGTTGCAGTGAGCTGATACCTCACTATTGCACTCCAGCCTGGGCCACAGAGCGAGACTCCATTTCAAAAAAAAAGAAGTTAGAAATGCCCCTCTCTTGGTCACCTGGGGACTGGGACAACCCTGTGGGGACTGGCTCCAAGATTGGGGAGGGGGAAGCATGGAAGGCTGAGGGGTGGAGGACACGGATGTGGATTCACAACAGTGATGTGAGGAGGAGGGTGTGGCCTACATTGGCAGACTCAAATTCAAATCCGCATCTCAGAAAGGGCCAGAGCTTTGAGCCCCACACACCTGCAATACCTCCTGAGAGACCTTTAGGAAGGCCTCTGCGTGACCGTCTATGAAATGGGGCTAAGTACTCTCTGGAGCCTTCCCAAGTGCAAGCACCCAGCACACAGTAGGGGCCCGGGTGCCTTGGGTGCAGTGCGGGTGTTGTTGTGATCAGTGGGGGATTCCCTTGTCATCAGCTGCTTTTCTTCCACCAGCCCCAGAGGGATCTGGCAACATGGCGGTGATTGTCGGCGTGGCCGTCTGTGTGGTCCTGCTTCTGGTGCTGGCGGCAGTTGGCTTCTTTATCCACCGCAGGTTTGTCAGAGCCCACACCCTGGCTCCACGAGGGCTTGGGTGGGGAAACGGGGCAGGAACCTCAGTTTCCTCATCTGAACGATGGGGCCACAGGACTCTAGTCTAATCCCTGCGTCCGGATGGTGCCGGGATATACGAGCTGGAGTGTGTAGTGCAGCGCCTGGCACGCGGCGGGGCCGGGACACGGGGGTCTTTACCACTGCTCTTGTTATTAACCATGTGTCCGCAATTCCTCTGGACACGCAGGCAGGAAACCCGGGTAGCTCTAATGGGAATGCCCTAGTCATGCCTGCTTAAAGGGCCATTACCGGGCCTAGACCCGGGGGAGGGGTCCTGGCTCGCTCACTTTCCCCCCATCCCTCCGCCCCCCTTCTCCACACCCTCAGCCCTGAGCGTAGAGCTTGGGCAGCAACAGCGGGGACTGGGCCATGTTCTGAGCACCCCAGGTCCCTCCAGGACCAGAGCAGGGTTCGGAGCCTCCCCCAGCCGGAGCAGTCCTGGCTGACCTCTCTGCACTTGGTTCCCTGTGGGGTTCTTTCAGGAGGAAGAGCCAGCGCGCCCGCCGGTCCTCGGAGGACGTTTACTTCTCCAAGTCAGGTGAGGTGCAGCCCCCGCTCCAGGCCCAGTCCTGCCCCGATCATCCCAGGAGCCTCCCCAGCTCTGTGGGGGAGGTGAGGGCAGCCCTGGTGTTCCCAGGGCACTGAGGTGCAGCCATAGGCTTCCGTGGGTAGCTCTGAGGGTCTGTCCCCCACAGCCTGGGCCAAGTTTCTGAGGTCCCTGGTCACCTTCTCGTCTGTCTCCATGGCACCCCTCACAGGGCCGCTCCTGAGCTGCCTATGACCCCACCCCTTCTCCTTCCAGAACAACTGAAGCCCCTGAAGACATATGTGGACCCCCACACATATGAGGACCCCAACCAGGCTGTGCTGAAGTTCACCACCGAGATCCATCCGTCCTGTGTCACTCGGCAGAAGGTGATCGGAGCAGGTGAGATCGGCTCCCCGCCAAGGGGCCCCGAGGAGGCAGCAGGCGGGTGGTGGTGAGACAGGGTGGGAGCCCTCATGCTGGGGCTGACTGCGGCGCTCTCCCGACCTGCCTGCCCACAGGAGAGTTCGGGGAGGTGTACAAGGGCACGCTGAAGGCGTCCTCGGGGAAGAAGGAGGTGCCCGTGGCCATCAAGACGCTGAAAGCTGGCTACACGGAGAAGCAGCGAGTGGACTTCCTCGGCGAGGCCGGCATCATGGGCCAGTTCAGCCACCACAACATCATCCGCCTGGAGGGCGTTGTCTCCAAATGTGAGGCTCGGCCTCAGGGCCTGCCCGCAGCGGGTGGAGAGGGGCCGCCTGGCAGGGCTCTTCCCGTGACTGTGCCCATCTCCCTTAAACCTGTGCCCACCTTCCCCCATACCTGCATCCACCTCCTCTGTGCCTGCGCCCACCCCTCCCCATACCTGCACCCACCTCCTCTACACCTGTGCCCACCCCTCCCCATACCTGCACCCACCTCCTCTACACCTGTGCCCACCTCTCCCCATATCTGTACCCACCTCCTCTATGCCTGCACCCACCTCTCCCCATACCTGCACCCACCCCCTCTACACCTGTCCCCACCTCTCCCCATACCTGCACCCACCTCCTCTACACCTGCGCCCACCTCTCCCCATACCTGTACCCACCTCCTCTACGCCTGC